CAACATAGGGAATTTGTACCTGTACATGATACATCTTGCTGCTTCTTTCTGCTCCATTTTCCCTCTCTTCAATCCCTCTTCCCCTCCATATGTATAAAAGCTTTGTTTCTATATTTTCCTTATTCTCGCTTACTTTTCTTGTCCCTCCTCCCCCGCCCCACCTTGTTTGCCTTCTCATTTGAACCTTTTCTTCCCAATATCTATTATATGTTTTGGTCCTTTGAGAGCATACTCTTAAGTGAAATACATCAGACACACTTAAATACTGTATTGTTTCTCTGGTATGAGAGACCAAAAGTGGAAATAAGATTTATATTCTTAAGTTTGGTCTTAAGTAATTAAAAAAACACTCATTTTGCATGGATTTTGGGGGGAAGCATTTAAACCTCTTATGGTTTATGAGTGGTGCTGAGATTAAAATAAATACTTCATGAGGAATAGGAAGTACATTTTAAATACTTTTATTTATTTACAGGAGAATATTCAATAAAGAATTCTTTTGGACTTGGTTTCATTGTAATTTCTACAGGGATATTAATATTACTTCAGTACAATGTGTTTATGACAGGTAGGTATTCTTACAGCATAATTTTGCTAACCTCTTTCATTAAAAATAACACTTTTTGGGACCGAGGATTTAGCTCAGTGGTACCGCTGCCTGCCTCAGAAGCACAAGGTCCTGAGTTTGATCCCTGGTCCCAAAAAAGCACTTTTGGTAAAAATACCCTTGTATTTTTTAATAACTTAATAAAAGTTGTTTTATTAAAAGATTTTCCATTACATTCTTAGTGGCATACAGAGGATTTTAAGGCTATCTTAGATCTTCATTTTGTGGAAAATGGTTTTAATATTTGATATGAAAATATTTTAGTTATCCGTTAGCATCATTGTAAATTATGCTATATAATTTTTAATGATTATCTGCATATTCTAATTTCAGCTTTTGTATTTAGAAGTTGATATTAAACAATATTTTTTTTTTGGTGAGCATCTGCATTAGAAATACTAGTTCTGCAGGATGGCATTATAAATCACAACTGGTAAAACACTTATTTTAGCTATTGGCAAACCTTAACTATGGTTTTAAACAGAGTATGGATATCCTAACTATAATCAGTATCATTTTCTCTACATTTGAACTGGAAATCCCTAATGTATGTATATTTGTTATTATTACTAAAGAATCACTTTTGACTCTGGGTCTTAAACTCTCTCTGGCCTGTTGTACACTGGAAAGGTATTAATTTATTATAAAATCATGCATGTTCCAGATGTACAACATATAGTGGTCATGATGTTTATAATCACATGTTTGCATTATGGCTTTCTCCACCAGAGCAATTTTGTGTGCATGTAAAGAAGCCATGCATAATTATCATAGCCATTCTTACTGTAAAACTCACAAGAATGGTCAAAACAGCACTGTTTTGAGATTTGGGTAAAAACTGCCATTCCTTTTTAAATTACTGACAATAAAAGGCTGCTAAGTCTGTGAGTCTGGAGCTAAGGGTAGAAGATTCAGATCACTGGAGAAACATCTACTATCTCATCTGAGGAGGAATAGCAGAGTCAATCTTTTGTCTTAGGGCCTCACTCTTGGTTGCACCAAGCACAAGTAGTAGTAAATGATACTCTTACTCACTTCTGTTGTGTCCTTTTCCCTCCCCCAAGCTTTTGGGATGACCTCTTTCACCATCGCCATACTGATCACTCAGGTGCTGGGCTATGTACTCGCTGTGGTTGGACTTTGTCTCTGTGTCACAGGTAAAATTCATGTCCTTTTGTAGTCTTAGTTTGGATTTCTTTTAGGAACAGCTCTTCTTTTTCTTTCCTTGCTTCTTTGTTCTTTCTTTTTTTTAATAGACCTTTTTAAAGTGTAGTTTTAAGTCACAGCAAAATTGAGTGGTAGGAACAGAGAATTTCCATATACTCCCACCCCTTTCATATTCCCTGCACAGCCACAGCTTCTCTCGATGTTCCACACCATACTGCGCATCTTTTACAATTGGTGAACCAGCCTCGACACATCACTAAATTACTCAAATTCCGTCACTTCCATTTCTGCCTAGTCTTGGTGTTGTACATGCTGTGGCTATGGCAATGTACAATGGTGTGTAACCCCACTGTGGTGTTATGCAGAACACTTTCATTGACCTAAAAAGGCCCTGTACTCCACTGTGCATCCCTTCCTCCCACTAATCTCCTGCCAACACTCACTTTTCAACTAACTTCATAGTTTTGTACTTTGCAGGATGTTTTAGAGTTGAAACCACAAAGAATATAATCTTTTTCATGTGGGTTTTTTTCTCTTAAAAATAGGAATCTAAGCTTCCTCCAGTCTTTTTGTAGCTTGACATTTTATTATTTTTTAGTGCTGAATAATACCCTATTAGGCAGATATACCATAATTTGTATATGCATTTACCTATTAAGGTGACATGGTTTCTCAGGTTTTTGTGATTATAAGTAAAGTTGCCATGAGCATCCTTGTGCCTCCTGATTTTGTGTAGACATAAATTTTCAACTCCATGTGGATAAATAGCAAGGAATGTGGTATTTGGATTGCATGTTAAGGCATGGTTACTTTTGTAATAACTGGGCTGGGGATTTGGCTCAGTGCTTTGCAAGCACATGGCCCTGAGTTTGATCCCAGGTAGCAAAAACAAAACAAAACTATTTTGTAATAACCTGCCAAACCCCATGGTCCTAATGCAAAATTACCACTGCTAATGGATGAAATTTCCTGTTTTTCCACATACTTGCCAGCATTTGGTGTTGTGAACTTTTTTTTTTCCCACAATGAGAATGATATTTTCCACATTGCTACAAGAAAGTTTGCTGGATGTGGTGTGTTTGGGCCGCCAAACTATTGTGCCTAAATTTTTTGAAAAACTTGTGAAATAACTAGGCACCAGTATATTGGAGCCTTAGACAGTATACACTTATTTATTTTGATATGATAAAGTGTATGTAATGGAAAGATGGGCTTTTTTCTTACGATAATTTGGAGTTATTGACAGAATAATTTTTGTCATCTATATGTGCATAATTTTTGTTAATCATTAGAACAAAAATTAGTCTCCTTAAAACATTATTATTGTCAGTTTCATTTTTAAAATTCACACATTTTATAGACATTTCTAATAAAAGATTTAATTTGTTTTTACAGCGTGTGTGCCAGTGCATGGTCCTCTTCTGATTTCAGGTTTGGGTATCATAGCTCTAGCAGAATTACTTGGACTAGTTTATATGAAATTTGTGGGTAAGTCATCTTATTTTTTTAAGCCTGTTCCAAGAATTTTGGACATATAACAGAAAATATTTTTAGGACCAAAGAAATGTATTGATAACTGCAAAAATGAGAAAAGTATCATTGGAATGAAGATAATACATTCCTGCTGGCTTCCCCCATGCTGCCTGATGGGACAGTCATGCATGTACCACCAGCTGTTCAGAGCCACCCAGCAGCAAGACATGAATTCTAGTCCCTTCATGAATGTGTTAAGAAGGGTTTCTACCTCCTTATTGTGTATAATATATATGAATTATTGAAAAGTTTGGATTATAAACTTTAAAAGAAAGTGGCTTTATGTTTTAGAGTATTTAGACTTTATGTTTTAGAGTTTTAGACTTTTTATACCGAGTAAAGGAAAAGATTTTTGAAGGATCCATTTGAATTAATAGAAAGGGATTCTTAATGGTTCCATTATTTCTGTGATAGAGCTCTTTAGCATAGACCTATTTGCGGTTTGAAATTCTTCTTGTACACTGTTTGTACATATGGACAGTTCTAAGAAGACAGAAATTGACAATCAAAATCTTTCACTAATGCTAATTTTAAGAGAAGTGTCTTCTAGTGGGTGACTTTTACACATTTGTTTTTAGATTTAGGATTGTGCTACTTTTAAAATCCATTCTTAGCATAGAATTAGCTTTTTTGTTTTAACCTTGTTATTTAATTTCCCAGTTTTCAAATACGAAGTTCTGCATAAGTCCTATTTTGACTATTTGTAGAAAAATATATTCTTTTGATAGTGCCCTAACTAGTGAGTTGCCTTACTTAAGCAACAGATATTCCCTACAGTATGATTTACAGTTGTCCTCTCATGATGAAATAAAACTCTTCACCACCTACCAAAATAAATTACAAATGAATGGAATAAAAAATCAGTGCTTCACTTTGGTTTGGGTGACCTCTATGTTTCTAAAAGCTAACCCAACATTTGAATTGTTATAGTGAAGAAATGTACTGTATGATTTGTGTAATACTTTCAAAGAAATTTTACTTTTATTTCTGAACATTAGCTCATTATGACAGAGTTTGGCTTTGTTATATTTCCTTCATTCTCCTTTAATTAATGCTTCTTAGATATATAACTGAAATAGACAAAATCTGCCTGTCATTAGTTTATGTATTTATAGTTGTTTCTCAGTGAAATTTCCTCATTTATTCCACATAAGTCCATAAACACAATTAAGATACCCTAAGTAGACTGGCATTTATGTGGTGGCTATAGTGGTCATCTTGAGTGTTTACACATTCTATGTTTGTTCCACCTTTCAGGCACCATGGGTTTGATTCTTAAAGGATGACCAATTTCATTGTTCCCCATGTGTGCCTAAGAACAATGTGTGAACTGCATATTCACAGAACCTGTGAAATGATATTAGGTGTCCTTACCTGATTGTGAGCTCTGTATTCTTATTTCTCACTCTCTGCATTGCTTCTTTCCATTCCTGCGCTTGCCCATGCTTTCCACATCTGACAAAGAATGATGTTCAGTACAGTCGCCTCAGGTCTGCCGTCCCAGCTGGGGTTGGCATTACCTAGCTGCCACCCCTTGATCTTGCTGTCTCAGCCTCCCCAGTGCTCACATCCCTGAGAGGCCTATGACACCGTGCAATTACAAAGGTTACTGTAATAAAATTAGAGTGAAAGTGAAATCCCTACAAGTTCCTCGAATTATTATTATTATTTTTTTGTAGTTTGATGTATAAATATACTACATATAAGTTAAGAATTTGGTTCAATTTCATTAACATTTTGAAAATATCCTAAATTAACCTTTCAAATCAACTCGTCCAATGCCAGAGTGCAGAAAGATACCTTCGGTCAGTTGAAAGGCAAGAAGAGAAAAGGTACAGGAAAGTTGCTCTTTAGATAATGTGGTAGACTAGGAAACTTAATGTGTTTTACTTACATGAACTGACTCTAAATCTGAATATGTGTAACATTAAGGTTGCAAATTTGAGCATTTTTATCAAGAAGTAAAAGTTGTAAATGTTTCAAAAATACTTTTTACTCATCGCAGATGTACTCTTTTAGAAAATGAAAGTCTTAATTTAAATTCAATGAAATCCTCAGTTTAAAAAAAAAATCTGGATTCTCTTTAAACATGAATTAATGTCTCTATGAGAATTTTAACTTTTGTATCTTTCATTATTTCCAGGTTTAAATTTGTAGCCTTAATTGTTGAGTGGAATTTTGACTTTCACTTTCTTTTTAACTGTTGGATTTAAATATATTTAAAAAGTTCATTTTACTTTTATAAAATAAGACGGGGCTAGAAAAATGACAGTGCAAAAGCATGTAAAAGCTAGTTATCTGTACATATATACATTATGGGGGAAGAGAGTTAATTGTAAGTTCTTAATTCTGATAAACACATAAATGAGCTAAAAAATTTAATATACTACCTCTGACCCCTTCATAGTACCAATCAGATTCTTTTTTTTTTTTTTTTTTTTTTTTTTTTTTTGCGGTACTGGGGATCAAACTCTAGATCTTGCACTTGTGAGGCAGGTGCGGTGACACTGAGCTAAATCCCCAGCCCATCCATCAGAATTTTAGGTAGCTGTTTGGTTCTCTTTTCCTTTACAACATTTATATATAAAGTATGGTTTACTTGAAGTCAGTTGTATATGCATGTAACTCTCAGTGGTCCCATCGAAGTTCTGACATTCTGCCTTTTTAATTTGGAAGGCTGTTAAATGGGATGTACTCCAACCCATTATTACTTTAAAAAGAAGTTTCCTTCATATTTGGATATAAAGAACACACCACTTCTACTAAGGGCCTCTATTAGCAAAGCCAGGTGATAAGTGCAGGCAGTATATTGCTAAGTACTGAGTTGTCACCTGTCCTCTCTGTACCAACAGGTAGTTGCTGCCATTCTGTCACTTAATGCTTACTGAGTTCCTTTGCCTTTGATTCTTTACCTGTTAGCCAGCTAGTTCAGCCTCTCCATGCCTTATTTTTTGTCCCATTCATGTCTTCTTGTAGCTTTTCTTGCCTATAACTCTAAACTTTGAGCTGCTCTTTATGTTTTCACTTTTTCTTCGCATCACTAACTTTCTAGTCTTTACACATCTCCTCTTCAGATTCCAGTGGGAGTGGGAAAATAGCCAGCCCATAGCCATTTTCCTGTTTGAGCAAGCCCTACCAGGGTGGTTCATTGATAGGCTGAGCTTGGATCAGAATCCACCCCATTTCCCTAGGTGTGAAGGAGTAGTAATAAGTAAATAACAGAACAGGAAAGCAGTCCTGTGGCTGGCCTCAGTCTGCTAATAAGCAAATCCAGTACTGTTGCCCAGGCCAAGTTACAGTGAAATCCTAGAAATCTTAACATATTCTTTTCCTGTTACTGAGTTCAACTTGCATGACTTATAAATCATTGTTTTGCTTCCATCTTTTGTTTAGCTATATTTTTTTTCTGTTGTTGCTATTTGTATGTTTGCACTCTAGTATTTTTTTGAGAAGCTAGGATTTCTTGAACTGAGAGAAGCAGACAGGATGACATGGAAAATTCAGTATAGAAAAAGAACATTAGAATAATACAGTAGAATAACCCTTACTGAATGAGTCAAAGAATGTTGCTGAAGGGTGTTTCACGTCTGCAGGACTCTTAATTGCATATTAAGGACTAGCTTTAGCTGCTCTGAGGCCTCCTCCCTTGGTTTTTAGAGGAAAGTTATCTCTTCCTTATATTGATTACTCTGTATTCATCTTCAAGAACCTATTCAGAAATAGCGTAAAAGGAAACTCAGAAAACCAAGAAGGAAATACTACATAGAAGAAGGCTTCACTGGCAGGAACTAGGTGTCTAGAGTAACTTTCTAAAACCAGAAGGGTCTGATTTTTTCTCTTTTCTTTTCTTTTTTTTTTTTTTAAATTAGCTATCTAGAGCCTTAAAAATTGTAAAGATGGGGTGATGGTTGGGCTACAAGAAAAATGAGTAGTGAGTTAAGGATAAGTGGAGCACATGGGAGGTCAATCGTTGCCACATTTGTCCACATCCTGGCTGGTGCGATGGGCAGAGATGGAGAGCCCTCTGTAGAGGGGTGTTAAGTGATGGCATGTTTTTGAGGAAAAATGAGAGAATGTGTGTATTTATTATCAGATACAGGTGGGTTGCTCACTTCATTTTCCTGTATCAGTGCATATAGTCGAGAATATTCTATATTTTTAAATAGACTATCAAAATTGGAACTTCTGGATTGAAGTCTCTGGCACTCTTCCTGTTTTAGTCCTGAACATTTTATGTTAACACTAAGCATTACGTTGCCTTAGTTAATTTCATTTATTAACTTTATTTTCTTATTTTTATTTCTATCAGCTTCCAATCAGAGGACTATACAACCTCCTAGGGTAAGTTAAATTTTATCAAATGAATTTGGAATAATCAGTTGATGGGTTGTTGAACTGTTCTGCTTAATGTTTAGTTTCATACAAATTAAATAATGAAGTCATTTAATGACCTTTGCATGAATGGGTTCAATTCTATTTTAAAACTCAGGCAGGTTTGGTCATTTGAGTATTAATGGAATAAAATAACAGATCTTTTAAGATTGTACTGACTTGTTAGACCTCCTGTAGAAATGGAAAGCTCATGAGTAGGAATAATAGTTATTAGCTCTTCCATCAGAAAAAAGCTGATTCCATCATATTGCCTCCTCTCTTGGATCCATTTCATGTGAATACACTAAATGACAATTTCAAGCCTAAAAATGAGTAAGGTAAATTTATATCAAATTGAGTGTGTTCAAATTAGAATCTCAAAAATAAATGTAAATATTGCTGGGGAAAATCTTCTCTTAGTTGTGGTTCACCCCTTCCCCATTTTATAAACTTTTTTCTCCTTGAAAACTGTACTGTAGGTTTCCCTGTACTTTGGATGCCTTATCAGCTCGCTGAAAAACTTCCAAGAAAAGGAGCAAATTTTGGAGGGAAAAAAATAAAAAAATCTTTATAAATACATACTCATCATGGTTACAGGCTTAAGAGCTCTTTTATGGAAATAAGATCTGGAGAGGACTATATTGTATTCAGCTTCCTATCAAGGATGGATGATTGAACTGTCTGAACTCCCAGAGAGAGCATCCTTTCTGTGGCCAGAAGGCTAAAGGGCAGTTTGGGACATAGTGTGTTTGTGTCACTCCAGCCATTCATTCTGAAAAGATTGGTGCCATAGTTACATTGGTTATAAACGGCCAGCAGTTTATAAAGTGCCTCTTAGAGTTAACCCAACTATTGGACCTTTACATCCTAGCAATTTCCTTTCCCTATTGCTGAATTCAGTTTGCATCACTTGAAAATAGTTTTGCTTCACTCCCATGTCTTGTTTAACTATATTGTTTATTCTGTTGTTGCTATTTTCATGTTTGCCTTTAATAGTTTTGTAGAAAGTTAGGTTTCTTGGACTGAGGGAGTTGGGTAGGCTGGAAATTCTGCATAGCAAAAGGAAATTAAGAGAATAATACTATTAAACTGTTAACTACACTTGGTAAGCTTTGCTTTAGCATTTATTACCTTATTTTGTTTTTAGACTTTTGGATTCACTGCTTACATACTTTAGATATAGTTTTAGTGTAAAAGACATGAAATGAGTTATATTTTATGTAAATATATTTTAAATATTTTCCAGAAAGCTGTAGAGGAACCCCTTAATGGTATGTGTTCTTCTTGATCCATTATCATCATAATTTGATCTGGTTTCAAGGAAATTAGAAAGTCCATCTACGTCTTGGGGAGAATCTAGTAGTGGTCACTACCCCACCCCCCACCCCTGCTTACTTTCATCTTCATTGAATTCATCAAGAAGTAGAAATTTTGCTTTCGTAATACCTCTTATATTTGAGAAAAAATGTACTATTTTCTATCCCTGATTGCTTTCCCTAGCCAACTAATATTGGAGCAACGGGATCATTGCCCTTTTATGTTGACAAATGAAGCGTAGCACCCATGTAGAGAAGAATCTCTCTACTCAGTTATTTCCATCTTATTTGTAAATTTCAGAAAGATACAAGCTGTCCACCTGGACTGAGACCAAACTGTTTCACTTGCTTTCTATGTAAATCTAGATCTATATGCCCAGCTGAATCTTTTCTTTGGATGCTGAGGGTGTGGTCCACAGAAATGCTTTGTAACAAAATGATAGCTTTAAACAGCTATGTATTTGTAGAATAGTTGGCATGATGTTGCTACCTATTTGTTTATTTTAAAAGGATTTCTAATTGTGAAACCTTACTAACTACTTCCTTGGCTTGTTACTAATCCTTAGCATTTAAAGAATCAAAAGGAATGATGAATGAGGGTAAGTATAAAATACACCTATAAGTATAGCTTAGTTAAAGTATAGACATTGGAAAGAAAGCAAAAAGCTGCTTGAATGAAAGTTTGACCTTCTTTAAATAAAAAGAATACTGTCAAATCATAAAGGACCACATGTCTTGATATAAAAAAATTAAATCTGCTAAAAACTGAAGAACTACACTTAGCAAAGTTGTAGCACTTTGTAAAATATTTCTCAGATTCAGCACCTGTTGACTGTAATTTTAAATGCTTTTTATAAAGTACACTAATGATCTGGCACAACTCTTTACCATTTGACAGTTTCTTTCATGCTTGTGTTGGTGATTTTGTTGCATTTTATCTAAATATATCTGCTTTTTTTCTAAGTAAGAACTTGATTCTAATTTTTCAGGAAAGGGTTAGAGAGAGATGTTCAGTCACTCCAGCTTTTGTTTCTTTTTTTGGAATTCTAGATTAATAATGACTTCTAATCTTTACTGCCTATTTCAAAGCCATATATTTTTTAATTCTTTTTTTTTGGGTGGGGGTTGAGATGGGGTCTCACTGTGTAGTTGAGACTGACCTGGAACTCACTGTGTAGCCCAGGCTGGTCTCGAACTCACAGTTATCCTCCTGCCTCCGCCTCCCAAGTGCTGGGATTACAGGAATATGCCACCACACCCAGCTCTATTTTTTAATTCTTAAGTGCCTGAGATACTGAGTGCTAAGTTCATTTTTTCTTAATATGTTATTAGTCTTTAATTCCAATGACATTTAATAACTGTCCTTTTTTAGCATTGACTTTTTACTCTCAGTGCTTATGTAACTGTATATACTAAAGTTTGAACACAAGAGAAGATTAGAAAAACCTTTTTCTTAATACATGTTTTCAGTACATAATGTTTATACTCCTTGTATGAAGTTGGATGTGTATATAACATCTCAATTCTTATTTCATCCCCACTCCCTCCTTCCTGCCCTCCATCTCTCAGTCCCCTTCCCATTTGAGAAACATCTAGATTTCTTCATCCCTTTGATATTTGTAATCATACCTTGATGATGTAAATAGTTTTTTGATTGTTGGTTTGTTTTTTGGTACTGGGGATCAAACTTGGGACCTTGCGCATGTGAGGCAGGCAGCAGGGAACAACTGAGCTAAATCCCAGGCCCCAGTAGTTTGCTTTTTAATTTACCATTTTAAAGCCTGTGACCTACCTGTTCAGTTCTGTAATACAGTACAGCATGTAACACAGGAGGCTTTGTTCCCCTGAGTACAGTTAATTTTTGCATAGGGTTTAAAATGTTCCAGTCATATGTGAACTAAATTTAAAACAATGTTTAGGCTTGTGTTGCACAAAGAGCAATAGCATAATTTCACATTTGGAGTTTGTGCCATAGCCTTTAAATGCATGCTGTTATACAAACCACTGCCTCCTTAAAACAAAATGAGGGGAATCATGGCATGGCATGGTTTAGCCATATTTTGATTCCACTGTCCTGTTCAGTTTCTTTGTTCTTTCATTTTTCTACTGTGGTGTCATTTTTCAGTGGTTGTATGAAGAAACTGAACTTTTCTCTATTTTCAGAAAAGAATCTTGAGTGCCTCTTCCTTTGTTAATTTCCCTTAAAATGTGACTGTAGCAGGAAATGTAAGGCAGTTTTTACTTTGAATTTTTTGTTTATGACACCTGAAATCTGTGATGATTACTGAAAATCCTTTTAATTATTTTAGTACTTAGCTGATCAGTTTATTTGTTAAATGTCTGTCTGATGGGCTCTTAGCTAAAACTTGCTTAACATGTGCAATGTGCCTGCCTTGTTAATGAATGAGGGCCAAGATATGTGCCCCAGGTATTTTCTCTTTGACCTATACCTGACAACTTTTAATCAAATGATGTAGATCTGAAGTGAAGGATAGAATATTATCTTAGGATGAATATATTTTGCTTTGAAAAAGGAATGTCAGGGCTGGGGATTAGAGCTCAGTGGTTCTGCTGCCTGCCTCGCAAGCCAAAGATCCCAAGTTGGATTTCCAGTACCAAAAAAAAAAAAAAGAAAGAAAGAAAAAAGCAATATCACTTAGCTTTTCTCTAGCTCACTCAACATCACACTGTTGATTTTTATTAGCTTGGTTTTTGTCTGTGACCTTTGCAAATAGATAATTTTTAAATACTGGGTTTCTGAAACAATTCCAGATTTTCTAAGCACTGCTTTTTTTTTTTTGGTACCGGGGATCGAACTCCAGTCCTCGTGCTTGCGAGGCAGGCGGTGGAACCACTGAGCTAAATCCCCAGCACTGACCACTTCTTAATGCAAAGAAAGTAGACCTGAATAGTGACGGTATGTCCATTTTTAATTTTCCAGAATAACTGAAGCAAAACGATGAACTGTGATTCGGAGAGTCAAGACGTGAAGGAATACACTTGTTTTTAAGCACCATGGCCTTTGATGATTAACTGGTGGGAAGAAGAAGAAAAAAGTAACTGGTTTTCATCTGTGGGAAAAAAGTCACTGACCCATAAATGATTATTCCAGTTTTTATTCAAAGCAGCTGTAATTTAGTTAATAAAAGAAGTATGATCTGTGTCGTGTGCCCTATTGAGATCTAGTTTTCTGTTGTTATTTTTATTCAATTAGGGGCAAAAATGGAGAGGCAATTTCCAAGAATGGTACCTTTCAACTCCTAAGGCTCCTTCTAGGTTTAAATTGGTTCTGGGTGAGAATTACTGAGCACTAATCTGGTGTCTACTCAGCGATATCTATGAAAAACTGGCTTCCATCAAAAACTAGTAAACTCAGGTTCCAGCAGCTTTGGCAGCTATGCTGCAGCTGAATAATGTGTCTGCTCCTTCTGGGTCAGTTGAATGGTGACGTAAATAGAGACAAGAATTTGGTTGTGAACACCTTGTACCTATGTGTGCTGTAATATTGATGGAGAGAGCGGTCTTCATTCTTGGGAGTTGCCATTCACATATTCCCCCTTCAACATAATGGTGTGATAGATCCTCCCAGATTTAGGGTACTTTTATGAATGGATGTGTTTTTCTTTTGTTGATACTATCCTTTGTACCTTGTCTTGTCCCCATGTTAACTTGCTTCTGCTGTACAAGATGTAGCACCTTTACTCCTCTTTGTACATGGTCTAATAACATGGTAGATCTTTGCAGAAGGGAGCCAGACTTAGAACACTGTGTTCACACCTTTCAGCAAAAAATAGCTATGGTTGTAACATATGTATTCCCTTCCTCTGATTTGAAGGCAAAAATCTACAGTGTTTCTTCACTTCTTTTCTGATTGGAGGCATGAAAATGTAAGAGGGAAATCTGAACTATGAGTCTCCTGCATGGCAACATAATGTGTGTCTCCATCAGGCCCTGAGGCCGGCCCTCCTTCGAGGGGGCAGTTTTACTCCTGTTGTGTCTGTTGCATGATGAACACTCATCACCTTCCTCCTGTACTCCTGCCTCCTGCTCTACTCCCCTAAGGTTGAAAAGTAAAACACACTGCCACATTTCCTACCCCTCCACCTCTCCTTAGAAGAAAATTAACGTTCTGACAATTGTGATTGCCTGGAGTACTTTTAGATTAATAGCACTCGTTTTTTACCTCGTTTGTGGGTGTGTGTTGTATGTGCACATGTATAAGGTAGGCACATGCCTCTTCTGTAAGGACAAAAGTGCAGTACCTACAGAGGAGCAGATGCTAACTTCGTACTTCTAGTAAAAACATTTAAAAAACAAAGGTCTTTATTGGGTGGAATAATATTTGATGCAAATATTGGATCACTTAAAACTTTAAAAACTTCTAGGTAATTTGCAAAGCTTTTTGACTGCTCACCAGTATCCTCTAAAATACTAGTAATTGTTCCTGTTTGTGTAATAAGACATTCACATTTGTAGTGGCATTACTAATAGTTGTTTCTTAGTCCACTAAATGTTTCCATGTGCCTCTTTTCTGCCAAACTTATTGTAATATTTCATGTTGGGACCAAGTGGTTTGCCCATTGCAAACCTAAACTTACGACCTGTTAAGGCCTCTTGGAAACTGAACACACTATCAAAACAGCTCTTTTTGGAGAAAAATATGCATATGTAGTGTTTTCTTCCTCGGTTATGTAACTGTCCAAAATATTAGCATATGGAGAGGGAGCTGTATTCCTTTATACAAATCTGATGGCTCCTGCTGCTCTTTTTCTTCTGAAAATATTTACACTTTGCTAATATTGTTTGTTACTTTAGAAATCAGTTTTGATGAAAGGAGGGGGAAAAAGCAGATGGACTTGAAAAAGATCCAAATTCCTATTCTGTGTTAAGAAAGGTATGAAAATATTTATAGTCCAGTTTTTTATGAACTAAAGTTGTGTGTCTTAATACGTAGTAAATGCTCCCTTATTTGGGGTTTAACTCCCTGGGTATGACCATCTGTTGTTTTCTATTTCATGGTGCCTGTCTTTTAAGGCATTTACTGCCCTACACAGTGCCACCAGGGGCAGCAGGGGAGATGCCAGAGGAAATCAACTTGTGTCTAGTCATTGTCAGCTTCTCTGGCTAGGGGACCACATCATCCGGAGTCATCTAGCCTGGGCATCGTTGGCCAATTCATTGTCTTTAAATCAGACTCATAATGGCTCCAGGTTTCTGCCACATCAAATTAAATTGCTAGCAGTGTTTTGAGCATTATGTCTGTTTTGCCCCACGATATGCTTTTTACTCTGATCCCCATTTTTGCTGTCACCTCCAGTTGTATTTATCATATGTTGTGAGAGTGACACCTTTTATCATTCTCTGCAACAACCTTTCCAGAGTTTTTGGCCACATTATTATTTTTTTCCTCCTTCAAAAATTTTGCCCATGGGCTGGGGATTTAGCTCAGCGGTTCGGTGGCCTGCCTTGCAAGCGTGAGGACCTGAGTTCAATCCCCGGTACCAAAAAACAAAACAAAAACACAAAAATTTTGCCCAGCCTTTCCCCCTCCCCTCACGTCCTCTGCAGTCTGTCCCCATCCATCCAGGAGCCTCTTTCATCATTTACTCACCTTCCCTGGTGCTTCATGTATCTGCTCAGCTCTAATGAGGATTTGTATTGTTCTCACTCAACTTAAAATTGCTTCCCTAGTGACAGTCTTTCTTTTTCCCTGTCTTCCTGCAGTATTTTTGCATACTTTAGATACTTGGTACACAAGTTCGATGACTGAAATCTGGCTGTACTTAGATTTCTCACTATTTTAATAGGGTGAGCTAAAAATTTTTCTTTTTTGACAAATTTCACATGCTCTGAAAACCATAAACAATAATGATTTTCCACCTGGAAATTTGATGTCCATTCTGTTTAAATTCTTGAGAATGTCAATTAAAATGGGATTAGAATGCTGTAATCAGTTTAGTAAGTGACCAGGCAAATTATGATTTGAGTTAATAAAGCTCAAAAGTGATAAGTTCATTCCTCTATCTTATTAATAAAAGGTTAAAAGTGTATATAATTTTCTAGATTTCTTACAACAGGTATTCAAAAATGGGGTTCAGTGGTGTATCTATGGAAATATATAACCCTCTATTTACCTGTTGTTGGAAATTGGAGAAATAATTGTCTGACAACCCTTTGTCTTTTCATTGTACTTTATTTGATTGAGGATTTATTTAGCAGCATTAGTTTACATGTGTATCACATATTCAAAAATCACTGTCACCATCCACTGGGATTTCTTTTAAGTCATTTTCAGTAGCTTATAAGGATAATCCAAATTAACTTTGAAGAGATGAGCAGTGACCAGGAAGTTTTTTCTGCCTTTAACTTTGATAGCTTGTAATTATGAGCATTTAAGACCAGCTTTTCCATAAATCTATTATTTTGGGGAAGGCAAGAAAGGCATTTGTAATGATCTTCTCTGTAAGACAGCATCAGCGGAATCTTTAAAAGTGGTGTCAGCATGATTGGTAAGAGGAAAACTTTTTTTTTTTATTAAACAGCATTATGTAAAACAAAGCCACTGTTAAGAATTAGATTCCACATCATATAAATATCCATTAACCATTCCAGATAAAGAGAACTCCAGTGTTGCTATGTGCAAGGTGCTCTCTTCGGGGCTTTTTAGCATAGCAATTAAAGGTGTGCTGTTTGTCGATAGCCATTTTTTTGCAGTGATTTAAAGACCAAAGTTGTTTTACAGCTGTGTTACCGTTAAAAGTTTTTTTTTATATGTATTAAATCAATTTATCACTGTTTGGAATATCTGCAATCTTTGGGAAGGTACTTTTTTATTTAAAAAAAACATGACTTTGTAAATACTACCCTGTAATATTATATATACTTAATAAAACATTTTAAGCTATTTTGTCAGCTCTTCTGTTGCTGCAGCGGCAGACTATAAGCACATTTCTGAGACATTTAGTTTATTAATGTAGTTTCAAGTTCATATTTTATGTAACAATGTAAAGGATTACAAAATATTAGGTATAAATTATTTTTAAAAACAATGTCTAATACATAAATGTTTAACTGGAGCGCAGTTTTAAGTAGAAGAGTTAAACAAGCCATGTGTTTCATAATAGAGAAGGAAGGAAACCTGGGTCCAAGCTCTGGCGATTTTGCTGTCGGGGGCTTCTCCAATGTCACTGGGTCATTGGTTGTCAGGAAGGTTTGTTTTGACTGCAAGGGGAGAAAAAGCCAAATCTGAGATCTTGGATCTGTGATACTCTACCCTGAAAATTCAGATGCACAAATGCATTCTTCAGACTTGGTCATAAGGAGCCATTATCTCATCAGCATTCAGCTTTTCTCTCCTCCTTGGTGTATCCTTCCTTCCAGTTACGTGTGATGGCCAACAGCTGATGGACTTTTCAGACTCACTGCCTCAGGCTCGGGAAATGGAGAGAGGTGAAAAGAGAGTGCACGTCTTAGCAGTCCTGTCCACTGCAGCATCCACCTCGGACATCTGACTGGGTCACAGGATGTCCCTGGGCCACGTAGGCCAAGCGCCTCCATTGCTGATTGGCTGTAACCACTCCCACACCCAACCTGGACTGGAGGTTACAGGCTATGTAGTACTTGAACTGTCTGGGGATGGGAAAAGGAGGGCAAGTTCACCTAGAAGCAAACCTCGGGATAGTTACCAGGTGATAAAATGTCATTAGATTTTGGACACAGAATTTCCTGCCAGTGTTGCATCCTTTCTGGTCTGAACTCAGATTCTGCTCTGTATGTGTGATTGTAGACCGTTTGAATGGAAAATAATATTTGGCAGCAAAATACCATCTCATTTCCTTACCTCATAGGCAATTTGACTTTTATGCATTTAAGGAGGACTTCATCGCTCTCAGCAGGAATAACTAATGGAATTCAGTAAGCATTTAATGGCTGCCTCCTGTACTGAAAGCTGCTCTCTGTAGCACAGAGCTGTTCTCACTGTGATTAGAACTCCCACGGAGGAGTAGGCTTCCAAATACAACTGGGTTTCACTTTGTGTGGCACTTTACCTCAAAGGTTTGACAACTTCAGAAACAATGGATATGGTAACATCATCTAGGTAGGACAGGATTTCACCAGGAGCTCAGAGGTTGCACAGCTTGCAGAGTTTGACTGTGGCAGAATTCACACACCTGGTCTTTAATTTTCACAGGCTTTGTGTTGAAGTACCCACCCACTACATTTGAGAGAAATGAAGTATTTAAGTTATGTAACCGTAAGTTACATAACCAAAGACCACTTAGAGTGAATAGAACTCTACCAGTTATTTACTTGGCTAGAAGACAGCAACTTTTCAGTTCTGATAGTAGCCAGTTGTGGAAGACCAGCTGTTTTCCCCCAACCTGGATGATAAACTCTTCTCTCCAATTCAGAGAGAAATTTTTCATAAGTCTGAAAATTAATCCAAATATCAGTCTTAGTGACAAATAGCATGCAGATTTATAGGTTTGCAATATCATTGCCATTGCTCTCTTAATAGACAAACATTGCAATACCTAACAGTATTAGGTTTGGTAGAGCTTTTGTTTAAAATAATCTTACTTGATCATAGGCTTATCCTCCAAAAAACAAACCCCAAAAACTATAGTTCTGCTTCCAAATATTTATTTCAGTTGCCTGAGAAATTCCTTTGGGCTAAAGTGACAGCCTCTAAGCTGTTAGACTTGGTAATCAAATCATTTGAAAAGTGTAAGTGTGCTATTTAAAACATGGCATATCCCTTCCATGGAACACTACTTTTTTTTCCCTCCTTTTATTAAGAGCATTGTTAGGGAAATGCTGTAGCTGAGCTGCACTATGACTGAGGTGAACTCCTGTCTGTACTTTTGTCTTCCTGCACATAACAGTTTTTGTGGGGATATGTAACTGCCATGCTAGGACCAACTGGAACATACCAAAACCTCTGTCTTCCCCATGCCTGCGACTCTTTGCTGCCTACCAGGGATAGCTGCCCCACTCAATTGGGTGAGAGCCTTGGGTGGTGATCTCTGAGCCCATCACCCAAGCAGCTCTTTCTAGGAATGCTTTTCACTCTAGGTAGAGTCTCCACCCTCAGCTCAAGCAAACATTTTTTTTCCCCTTAGAATGTAATGTTCCCAAGCCTCGCTTTTTCAAATGAGCAGATGCATGTATTTGGTTACCTGCAGAAACCTTAGTGCAGTATTGTCAAGCGTTCCATAGTTGGATTGGTTAGATATATATCTTAAATGTTTCGGTTTGGTACTCTTGTTTTCCATAGAGCCCATGTCTTCTCACATCTTTAGCTACATATCTGG